ATTCATTTTATTACAGTTAATGGTTACAACTGAGATTATTTGTGAAAACGTCTGCCATTATCAAAGGGAATCAGAAAAAAATATATATATTTGGTCATTATTTACAAAGAACACAAAACCTCTGAACTATCCACACAAAAGGGAGAAGGGGTTTAGGGCTCATTTGACAAGGGCAGACATTCGGCTCTGAACATTAAAAAATAAAATAAAAATCACATTGAGAGGTTGAACTGACATCATGATGTATTCTTCAAGCCTAAACAGCACGTCACATGGTGGTAGTGGTGTGATGATGATGATGAAGAAAACACCAAAGAAACAAAATACACAAATAAAAGATGCAATAAAAAAAGTGGGTTAGAAAATGTTCTTCCTTGAAATCCAGTAGTCAACTTTAAAATAGAGTCAGCCATGCACTTCTAAAAGGTTTTTGGTTGTTTTTTTCTTTTTTAATACAGAAGTCATCACCAGCATTTAGGCATCAACAGTAAAGACAGGGAAAAATTACAAGAGCATACTGGTCTTTTTTTCCAACAATAATAAATTTCCACACTGTGTTGTCAGCCATTTGAAGAGCTTTTGGAGAAAATGAAGGGAATAAAACTGAAAGTACAAACCAAACCAAAAGAAAACAACAACAACAACATCAACAACAAAAAAGCTAAAAACAAATATTTAATGTGTCCTCGTTTATACTAACCCACCCCCTACCATTTGAATACCTCCCCAAACCATCGCAGAGTGACAATAGAACAGATATACAGGGGTTAAACGGTCAGATCACAATGGGGGGAGTGCATGTTCAGTCATCATCTTCCTCCCCTTCCTCATCCAGCTCTCTTTTCCTCTTCTGACCCCGCTCCTCCTCTGTAAACACAACACAGGAGATACCAGATGTTTTGTTTACTCTTACTCTCACCCTGCTTACCAGCATTCAACAGGTGCTGGTAACCCTTCGAACTTTACAAACAGTTCATCTATTCACTTACCAACGTCTTCCTCATCATCTACCTCGCCGTCATTTAACTCTTCCTCCTCCTCTTCCTAAAAGTGTGCAAAAAAGGCACAAACTGACACCATGTACTATATTTGTAAATATAAGAGGAATAATCATTATTTTCCGGCATTAACCTCTCCGCTGATGTCCTCTTCTTCCTCCTCTTCTCCCTCTTCCTCATCCTCCTCCTCTCCCTCTTCTTCATCTTCATCTCCTGGAGCTGCATCTTCATCATACTCCTCCTCTTCTCCCTCTGCAAACAAAATTAGGTCAATGACAAATCAATTCCTTAATCTCAGTTTAATAACTGATACATCTTGAAGCACGGTGTCAGTCAGACTCTTCAGAAACATACCATCTTCATCATCCTCGTCGTCGTCTAGGCCTTCGACGTAAGCTTCGGCGTCAGAGTCGGGTGCTTCTTTATCCTCTTTGTCATAGCCATCAAGATATGTCAACTGAGGGAGCAGCTTGAAAACATTTTCTCTGTAGTCATTCAGGTTTGTCACCTCACAGTTGAACAAGTCTAAACTTTTGAGGCTTTCCAATTTTTTCTGTTGGGAAAAAGACAGGAGGACAAATTAATAATAATAATAAATTGGCGTTGTTTTTGTAATTTCAAGCCATTTAAAATCCAAGTCAACTTTTTTGTGCCAAGCAACAACAGAATTATTAATATATAAGATCTTTAAAAATTACAATTAACAGTATATATATATATATATATATATATATATATATGTGTGTGTGTGTGTGTGTGTGTGTGTGTGTGTGAGTGTGTTTGTGTATAAGACCTTACATAATTATTGCTTTTCATGTAAAAGTATCATGTTTTAAGTATGTTTAGACCATAATTATTTTCTAATACATGATAAAAAAAATTTTAGTACTATAATAATATAATTAATAATTATTGTTTTATAATTATTAATATTATTTTACAATAATACTCTTAATTTCAGTTTTTTGTGGAGTGACTGTTGGAACACTAGATGTTGGCAGCTTTTTTTTCATCGCTTTAGGATTTAATTTGAAGTACATGTGAACTGCATTTTTATATATATACATATATATTTGCATTCTTACAGATAATTGAATTATCCAGCATCCAAAGGCGTGGTGACCTTTGTTTAATTCTTCCTATAAGATTGTTTTAGTGACTCTTGAAAGCTTAAAACAAATGGTTTCATGTGTCAGAGCAAAAGAAAAAAAAAAAGGAATTTATAATTCAATTACAATCAGGACCGAGAGCGAGGAAGAGAGGGGGGATGTGCCTGGAGTCCAGCCAGAGGACAGATAAGACTGCACATTAAAGTAATATTATGCTCCCCCTGCCCGTTACCATAGCAACAAACGAACGGATTAAAAAATACACATGGCAATCAATCTCCAGCGGGACGGAGAGAAGGAGAGAGAGTTAAGTGCTCTTCGAACGCTCTTTCCACCATCAGAGTCATCACTCATGCTTTGACGTACAGACACTTTCTCTCTCTCTTTCTGTCTTTTATCTTGTATTGTTTTTCAGTCTCCTCCTTCCCCTTTTTCTCAGAGCAAAATAATGAACTCCCTCCTAAATCCAATTCCAAATCCACAAATACCGGATTATTACATAGTATAATTAGAGGATTTTAATCTAATTACCAAATCTGTCTTCCTGATCCTCTTGCCACCGCTATGAAACTCAAATAAAACGTGTGTGAGCATACTTAAATGGGATCTTTGGTAACTGTACAAATCCTGGCAGATGGATGTAACGGTCCTGGAAGAGTTCACATAAAAATACAAATTCTGTCATCATTTACTCATCATTATGTGGTTCCAAACCTGTAGGATTTTCATCGTGGAATAAAAAGTACTAGATGTTATTTCCATACATGAGGATGGGGGCTGTCAGGCTTCAATAGTGATGACAAAAAAAAAAAAAAGCCTTGGCGAGTCATATTTTAATGTAAATAAATGCAAAATAGCCTTTTGGGTTATTTTCAGCAAATAACATTTTAAATTTTAGACTTTTCAAAACACAAAGCAATGTTTGTTTGCAACTTGACTTTGTGCATCTTGATTGAACGCATTGGTTTGGCACACTGTAAATAATGATAATTATTTTAATGGCAAAGCACTGTAAAATGGTCAATTCAATATTTGATGAAAAAGCATTGTAGATCTAATGAGACATTTCATGTAATTTTACAGTAAAATACTGCTAAACTCACAGTTTTTGGAATTTAAAATAACAATGATCTCATAATGTACAGGGAAAAACTATAAATTTACAGTACATTCCCAGAACTCCCTGTGTGACAACTTTTTCTTTAAAAATGTTTCTTCTTCTTTCTTTGTTTCTTTTATTTTCCTTTTTTGTTATCACTTATGTACATGCATGGTTTTATGCTATATTTTGATATATATTTTTTAACATACATTTCACCTTTTTTTTGTAGTTTATAAGTAAAAAAGGCACCTTTTTGACACTGTTTGAGCTCTCATCATCATTACTGTCACTGTATGGAAAAAGCAGCCAGAACATTCTGTAAATATCTCCTTTTGTGTCACGGGGAAAAAATAGGGATTGTAATGACATAAATGTAAGTAAATAATGACAGCATTTTCAAAATGGTGCATTATTTTCAATGTTTTGATTTGTTAGCAGTCAAATCCACTAACAGATGTTACTAAATCTGTTGCTACTAAAGAGCTATAAATCAGTTTGTCATCGGTACATATTGATGAAATGTGTAAAAACCATACTAGATCCTCCTTCCTGCTTTCTCCACCAGTCTGTTTCTTTCTCTTCGTCTTTCTCTCGTTCTCTCGGTCTCTGAGAGCTCTGACTGGCTGCTTTGTTTTTGATGAGATCACCGCCATGCTGAACTAGTGCTAACAAGCAGCAGAGGCACAAGTGTATATTCAGGGCATCGAGATATACATCAGACAAGCTGGCATACATTGTAGACGTGAGTGTGTGTCTATGTGTGTGTGTGCATATGTATTTGAGCGACAGAAAGAGAGAGAGGGAAAAGCCTTTTTTGTGCTTCTACGTGCAAGTGTTGTGTATCTTACACGGGTGACTAGTTCTGTAACAATAACAGAAGATAAAAATGAACTCAAATCAAATCATACCAGGGTAGGCAAGAAGGAAAATATGCAAGTGTGTGTGTGTGTGTGTGTGTGAGACTGACTCACCAGCTTTGCCTCTGAGTGCATGGATGGAACATGAGGGGAGGAGCATGAGCTGCTGTGGGCGGGGCCTTGCATGCCCATCATGTTGGAGCCCATAGACATTTGCCTCTCCATCTGTACCCACAAATGTGAACAAATTACTTCAGAATCAAACACATTAATGCTTAAAACAACTTGAATAAAAATTAACAAACAAGCTAGTGTAAATGTGAGCGTACGTCCTAAACATTTGGCGACAAAATAGCAGAAAAACGTTACGAGAATTAGTTAAAGCTTACTTCTAACTAGTTAAATGATTAAATCTTCTCTCGGGGCAAAATATAAACATTTAATATTTAATGTTTTCATATGTAAAATATGTTTCATAAACATACTTTTTAATTGTTATGTATAATATGAATTAGCTTTACTTTAGAGACGAATTTGCTAAAAAAAAATGTTATAAAGTTAATTAAGTTAAATATGGTAAAAAAAAAAGTGGTAATGAGGTTTTAACGTGTATTTTCTTTATTTTATAAACACCAAAATTATCAATAATTAAATATTTATTCATAATCTAAAAAACTTTATAATTGTATGTTTTTATTATATCAATATTTATTATTAAGTTTTTATTTATTCATCAATTATATCTGTCACACCTCAAGGACCTGTTTTGTTGTGTGTCCTTCCCCATGTGCTCTGTGTGACCTAGTTTTCCCTCATGTCTGATTATTGTCATTTGGTTCAGGTGTTTGTCATTAGTTATCCTTATCAGCCCTCCTATTTAAGTTGTGTTCAGTTCACTGTTTGTTGTCTGGTCTTCTAAGTCCCTACGTGTGCATTCTGCCTGTCCATCCTGTGTTTGCCCTGTTGTGGATTATTAAAGACTATTTGCATGCATCTTCATCGTGTGTTTATTTCACCGTAGCTGTGACAATATCAGTGTTGCCAATTTAGCTACTTTGTAGCTAGATTTAGCGACTTCCCCGCCCCTTTTGAGACTTTTTTCAAAAGTTTAGGGACAAATATAGTAACTTCTTGGACAAACCTTATCTAAGTTCTCATCTTGCCCACTGATCTACAATCATCTTTATATAGATCAGTGAATTTGCCATTGTGATGCCATCTAGTGACATTTAGCTACCAGTTTTAGCTACTTTCAATTGAAAGCAGTTGGCAACACTGGACAATATTAGGTTTAGGGTCAATTTGTAGCAAAAAAAAAAAAAAGCCTAACTTCAGGGACAAAATTACAAGGGAGGAGGGAGGGTATAATATTGTAATTTATTTTATTTAGAAACATCAAAATTATTAATTCATTAAGATTTATTTCTAATCTAAATGTTTTTAATTAAAAATACATTTTTTATTATTTTATTTATTATTTTTACATTTTTATTTACATTAATATAACATTAATTTGTTATTTAAGGTTTAGGATCATGCTGTAGTATTTAAAAAAGCTTTATATGTAAAAGTTCGTCTTAGAAAGTCTTATTTAGATAGGTAAGTAAATATGTACATGTATGTGTGGTTTTGTGTGTGTGTGTGTGTGTGTGTGTGTGTGTACTTGTTTATGCTACATTGTGGGGACCAAATGTCCTAACAAGGATAGTAAAACCTGAAATTTTTGACATTGTGGAAGGGGAGAAAAATGATTAAAAATAGTCAATTATGTTTATCGGAAAGTGTAACAATGCAAACAGGTTTTCTGTAAGGGGTAGGTTTAGGGTTGGGTTAGGGGATAAAAATTATTGTTTGGTCAGTATAAAAGTAATAGAAGTCTATGGAAACCTAACGTGTGTGTGTGTGTGTGTGTGTGTGATGTGTTTATCTATGCATATTCCGCAACTCTGCGGGAAAAGCAGCAGTAAAAGACAAGCTAAGAGAGGAAGCTGAATACTGCAGAAGTGTGAAGCTTAAAATAGGACTATTAACAAGACCATAAACTAAACCAAAGCTCAGTTCTGTAAGAAAGACAGAATGTCTTAATTCAGAAAGTCTCAATTAAATGTGCACGAAGACTGAAATTTAGGTTTTAGATGTTTGCACTCATACAAAGTGCGTTCGGGTGATTTACGCTCAGTTTAAGGTGAGAGAAACTGTAAAATGGTACTTTCAATGCGTGTGTGTATGTGACATTGAGAGAGACTGGGGGTCCTGTTACTAAAACCCAAGATCTCCCTCCGACCCCCCTTTCCAACCCCCTGATGACCTATATCAGGGTGAAAGCGCAGCAGTCCGCTGTAATTATTGGAGGAATATTTGGTTTAAAAATATCACCCCACCCGGCACCCCTTTCCTGGGATGTCAGTCGAGATTGAAAAAAACATTCTAATTTAATTTAATCAACTCTTTGCTTTTACCTCCATAGCCGACATGGACTGGCTTATGTTACAATGAGAACATGTGTCGTGTCATTAGAACCCTGATATGGGCGGTTTGCTCAAACACACACACACACACACTCCTTCCTCAGCCTGCATTCAGGTTCCTATTGACATATCTGAAATAGAATTAAACCAGATTGAGCACTGGTAGAAAATTACACCTCTGCTGATGGGCTTCCTGATAAAGCAGCCACTGATATGGATCACATCACTGGAAAAGGCATTAATTTAAAGCAGACCACTGAGAAAAGCATGAGAATGGTCTATGAAAAATGAGTTTGTGTGCGTATTAATGCGTTTTGGTTGTCAGAGGCATCAGGAAACCATGACTGGGAAGTGTAAATGCATTGTGTGTGTTTGTGGGTTTATTTATGATCTCACAGGCATCAGAACAGCAGACGATCCTTGCATAGTCGGGTCAGGCAACGTGCCAGGCATGGAGGCCGGCAGTGGCTGTCGCTGTCTGTTCCTCAGGTGCAACAACGAGGAAAGGCAACCAGGCACTGGCCTAAGAAAGAGAACCAAAAGAGAAAGAAAAATGAAGGAAAAGTGAGATTAACTGGTTTCATCAGATGAAAGTTCAGAAGAAAAATGACGTCAGAAAAATCCATTTGCCATTACTAGGAAATTGTACCATTCGGGCAGTGAATTCAGTTCTCGTTTCAATTTGTCATAGTTCCTAAGAATTTTCAGTGCCTCATTCTGTCTTACTTTAAGGTATAGTTCATAGAAAAATGACAAATCTGTTAGCATTTATTCATTCTCATGTTGCAAGTTTAGGATCTATTTAAGCAGAATGTCCAAAATATAAATATATTGTAATATATAGAATGGCAATCTCATATAAAAGTGTCTATGATCAAATATTTTGAAAAATTTATAAAGTTTAAAATAATGGTAACACTTTAGAATAGGGACAAATTCTCACTATTAACTAGTTGCTTATTAGCATGACTATTATTAACATATTGGCTGTTTATTAGCACATATTCTGCATAACCATATTCTACATCCCTAAACTTACCCAATACCTAACAACTACCTTACTAACTATTAATAAGCAGCAAATTAGGAGTTTATTGAGGCAAAGGTCATAGTTAATGGTTTGTTAATAGCGAGAATTGGACATTAAAATAAAGTGTGACCAAAATAACATATGACAAGTTCGAAGAAATATACTCTTTGTATTCACATGCCATTTTCAAGAAACGTTTACATCCTAAAAACATCTCTAAAATGGCTCTAAAAATTTAATTTGGTGTCATCATTACATAAAAAAATTATATTTTCTCCTTACAACTTAAATACATGCGTGTACACAATTGAATATTGTTATTTTTAGTTTTTTTTTTATTGTTATTGTTATGTGGGGCTCCGTATTTTATTTATTTTTTATTTTTTTATCAATAGCGTCATGTCATTGACCCTTAAAACAGAATAAAAAATTTTGGGTGAACTATCCCTTTTAGAAGTACTCAGGCATGCACAGAGAGGCAGAATGGCTTTCCCAGCAAGAGACATTCTGCTGGAAGCTCTCAATGGAGGTTTACTGGCTCTTGTCTTAAGGCTGATCAAACCCCGCATTCTTCGATAAAAGCGTGGGTGTGGATGAATACAAAAAAGATGGCAAGATGAATTTGACATAACAGCTTGTTACAAATCTCTCTCATAGTTAGTGAAGTCTGCAAACATATGAAGGAGTTTAATAGCATAATACAATCAACATCTATAAAACGTTCTCTCATACAGGTAATGCACTTAAAAGAACCTCAGGTGTGGCACACAATAAGTAGTTTCTACACACCAACCACACAACTTCCTCTCTGGGTTGGCACGAAGCTGTCAGTACTCCACTTCCCCTGACCGCACTGATATTTACGCAGAATGTGTCAAATATAGCACTCACTAACTTCACCATCATACCTCCTATAGACTTGGACTACCACACAGTGTGGGGAAACGCAGCTCGTCTGAATAACCTTTAGCCTCAGATGACAAGCATTATTTCGGTCTGATTGGAGAGCTGACGGACAGCTGAAAGGGAAAGGAGGGGGTCCCCACCTGAACAAATACCTGTATTTATCCGGCCTAAATAGCAGCATTTACACGGCATGATTACTGTGTACGCATACACACACACACAAGCACATACGGACATTAACATTCTGACATATTGTCATTTGTGTCTAACACTCCAATCCATCACATGCTTAACAACCTCACATCTCTGAAACACATACATACAGGGGCGTAGTTTGTGGGGGGGATGGGGGGGTATATAACCGTTCACCGGCGCGCTCGAGAAGTGTGATGAGACTTGCACGAGCCATTCCTATCGCGAAGCTGATGGTCAAATATGTAAACAGCCACTTTAAAATACTATAGAGAAAGTCGAACAGTATCTAAAAAAGGCAAATAAACTAAAAAGACTGATGAAAAGAGGAGAACCGCACATATATTAAAATCTTTTTAAACTACTCATGACCGCCTTTACTAGAATTTATCACGTTTTATTGTAGGCTTATTTATTGTGTAAAACTTAGTCTAACTTGTAGAATTTATATTAGATAATCTGTTAAGAGAACAGATTTTTTCCCTATAGATTTATATTACAACTGTGGCATGTTGTATCTATTGGTTCTAAATGTGCAGGTGGTTGTTTCTTCATAACAAATGCTACATTGATTAATTTTAAAAAAAAAGTAATTATTGGCCTGCATGATTAATAGGCTAGTCTTATTATAACAAATGCTACAGTTAAGAACTATGGTACATGGCCTTCAGATATTCCAAAAGATGGCATAAATTAAATCATTAAGAGTCTGATGAACTGTTAAGGAGTAAGACATAAACAATATCAATATAAGAAAATGTTAAGTTAGATTGACTTCCCATGGCATGTTGAATTAGAACATTCTGTCAAACTATAGCCTATAAGTGCCTAAATAATAGGCTATAAAATACATTACATATAGGCTATATATCCTATGTAAACAAGTAATTGTTAACTATGATGTTACTTTATTGCACCAACTTTGCATTAAGATGATAGCACAAAAGACCATTTCACAAAAATAAATATATAAGCAAACAAACAAATAAATAAACCTTATGAATGAGCATGACCCGGGACTCTACTAAAACGGTTCACACTTTAACACCCCCATGTTCAAACCAAAACTACGCCCTTGCACACATATACACACCCAGTTGAGATTTGACTCATAGTTTAAAGGAATAGTTCACCCCTAAATAAAACTCACTTTATTGTGAAAACTACTCTTTTCCATAAATGAAAGTGAGGCAGTCAAGCACCAAAATCGACAAAAAACAACAATAAACAACTATAAATTTGCCAACTTATAGCTTTGTGTGAGGAACAGACCCAAACTGAAATTGTTTTCTATAAATATTCCTCTCAGCTGTCAAATCTCATTTACATTTACATATATTCAAGTATGCAGTGATAAGATGTTACAATAGGTTTCTCAAAAACATATGTGTAGCTTCTTAATACTTGAAATAGTGTATACAAACTACTTTTATTGGACTTTATGTTATATTTAGAGCTTGAAAGCCCTAATCTCAGGATATGAGGTAAAATCCCTGTTGAAAAAACCAGCATATGCTGGTTAGGTATGTTTTGACGCTGGGATGCTGGTTTAAGCTGGTCCTTTGCTGGTTTATGCTGGTCCTTTGCTGGTTTAAGCTGGTCCTTTGCTGGTTTAAACTGGTCCTTTGCTGGTTTATGTTGGTCCTTTTGCTGGCAGCATCCCAGCGTCAAAACATACCTAACCAGCATATGCTGGTTTTTTCAACAGGGATGACTCTTTTTGTGTTCCACAAAAGACAGTATGTGAAAATGGCATGAAGGTGAGTATAAGTTCACAGAAGATTAATTTTGCAGTTAACTATTGCTTCGATCTAACATATTTAGCAAAAAAAGTAAAAAGCTAACAACATTAGCATCCCGCTAATAACACAAAACTTGCACTCATTAACTGCCACTAAATACCGAATCTGCATCCAAATACCGCAAACTCTGTGAGTAGACTTTTGAATTTAAGTACTTACTTTGCAACTACATTCTATTAAAGTATAAATGTGTGCAGTATGAATGTAATCCAGACATACTAAATTCATCATATTGTCATTTTCTCATGTTGCGTCTGCCATTCACAACTCTTCTCCCATGGTCTTGTGGGTTCATTGGACGCACACTTTAAAATCTCGACCAAAATAGTAGGTAATTCAGATACTTTTTGCATACAGTTTTATGAGTACTATGAACTTGGACATACTAATCTTTTCACATAATGTTTTTCTACTTTATAGTAGGGAAGTACTGTATGCATATTCAGATGCAGCCTGAGCTTGTCTCATTTTGTATTCTAGTGTAAATTAAATATAAGGGAATTTTTAGATGATAAAAAAGATTTACATTATTGTGGTGGAGAACAGCCACAGCTCAGCTCTGAACCACCATTCAGCCAACATAGGCTGAAGAAAAAATAGTCTTGGCCTGTTACCACTGAGGTGAAGGAAAAGAGAGCGGGACAACTCTCTACGGGCCAGTCCTGCTGCACATTACAACTCAGCGAACAGGAAACGGTCCTAATTAAGAGCTCAATCTGGCCAACGGGAAGAAAGACGCTTTAGACGCTGTACAGGTTCCCTGTCAAACTCGCTCACTTGCTCCTCAGCGAGTAAGAAATAAAAAGTGTGTGTCAACAGAGAATAAAGGATAAACCTGTTATGAAAGGGCAAAATATCATAAGACAAAAACTTTCTATACACCCAGAATTACTGCTCATGTGGGTGTAAGTGCATGACTGTCTGTGTGTGTTAGTGTGTTTGTATGGTCTAGTGTATATTTTGTATTAATGACAGGCTGTCACTTTCAGAGGGGATAATAAGACCCCCGTAGGGTGAGGGGTGGGCATATGTACACACTCAAAAACACACACACACACACAGTGCAATCCTGACTCTCTCCTCTCACATTACACACACTGTCTCCCTGTTCCAACATGACATCACTCCTCCCTTTCTATTCCTCACTATATTTTCTCTTTTTCTCTCTCGATTTCAGCAGGATCCTCCACTATCATTCTCTCTCTAAGCTAAAAGACACCAAACCCAACATCACTGACCTTCCTAGAGAGCCTCAAGTCGTAGAGAGTTTAAGATGTTACTCTATACTCTCCTTGCGTATAGGGTTATAGCATCACAGGGTAATCTCATGGTGACTTTTTCAAGCATTTACAAACAATACATAACGCATTCTAGTACAGAATATAGGGGGCCTTACTCAGGAAACACAAGCAGAATTCTGTTTAAATCATTGTGAAATGACTGTTACAAATTAAAAGCACAGACACAGCCAGATAATTTCTAGAATTACCAACACAATCTACTAAGAGGAGCACAAATTAGCATCTCTCGCGGACATGTAAGCACAAAATGGACATGCTTTTTTGGAAATTAAATAATGGCGTAAATACCAGT